TTGTTTTTTTTTTTTGTTTTTTTTTTTTTTGTTTTTTTTTTTTTTTTTTTTTTTTTTTTTTTTTTTTTAATATTTTCGACTCGTAGAGCTCAGCAATATCTCAAACGGATTACACGGAGGAGGGGTTGAAGCTGAAAACCTCACTGATCCCCACTGCGGTCCTATTCATTGCTGCAGTAGGTGTAGCGTGCGCCCGGTAAGATCCACCCCCAGCCCCACTCCTATTTTGGGGACCTCTTTGAGCCTTCTTCCTCCCTTGAATAGCGGGGATGGGAGAGGAGGGTTTTCTGCTCTTGAGGTGGCAGAAGCGCAGTCATAAATCACCTACCTTGCTTGTCCTTCTGTCCTTTGGTCATAGAGGGGCTCCAGCCAGCTGTGTGGTCTCACGTACCGTTGCTCCCGCTGAACAGTTTCCAAGTTTGAGGTAAAAGATCAAATCGCACTTTTCAGGGACTGATTAAGACGCTCAGAAATAAAGTAAAATTAAAAATGAAAATAAAAAAAAAAAAACGTATAAGGCTATTCAGTCCTACTCATTTTCTCCCACGTGTTTTCACAATTACCATGGATTTGTCTTTCTCTGCTTCAGTTTCTAGCTCGAAGTTGTGGGATTTTTTTTTCCCAAATAATAATAATAATAAAAACGTTAGAAGTAATAAATTAGGAGTTAGTTGCTCGTGGTCGAAGCTGAAGATCTTATTTCAAACCCGGCTAGCCAGGAGCCTGGAGAAGTTGCAAGGCAGCGTCTGAAAGTTTGAGATGTACAGCATCAGATAAAGTCTCTTTGGTGATGCCTTGCTGACCGAGGAACTGTTTCAACGAGGTTCCTCAGCAGCAGCAGCAAACGGGTAATATTTTCCAGACGTCTTTTTCTTCCCTGCTGCTGCTTTTCTGCCTCCTCCACGTTATGGGGTCTTTTAACAAGTGAGACTTGAGTTGTTTTAATAGGCGGAGGATGGGAAGAAGGAGGGGAGGGAACTCCTGTAAGGAAAAAAAAAAAAGAAACCAACCCTGCCCATTGAAATGATCTCAGCCAAGGACCAGTTCAGCGGCAGGAATTCAATTAGCTAAGTTGCAAATTTTGCAGAGAAATGCAATACACACACGCGTTGCCACCCCCTGAGTTCCTCTTCATGGCCCGCAGTTAGGGGGAAACCCCCACTTTCCCCACTCCCTGCATCTCCGGGTTTGGGGTGTGGGACTCCTCCCTCCCACGGCCGCTCTTCGGCTGGGACAGCTTTTGCTTTTGCTGCTGCTGTTTTTTATTAATAAGGGGATTGCCTCTATGAATGGATGAACTTTGCAGTTTCCAATCCTGCTTTACCCGTTCACTCTCGGAAACATTTGCTGTAGTAAATACCCAAGGAAGCTCCCACTGGCACGAATACCCAAGCCACTGGCGTTACAATGAGCCAGGAAACACGTTAGACGATTTAAAAACTGGAAAATTGTGGTGTGTGGTGGTTTTGTGTCATTTATTTATTTATTTATTTACCCCGAAGTGTTCACTCTGTGCTCTGTGGACGGCTGCCAGCTAGCCAGGGGCACCAGCAGTCAACAGCCCACCCCACCGCCCGCCAGCAGCTT